CTTCAAGCCTTTAAGACCCCAGACACTACATCGTTTGATAGCTGGGCACCATCTGCTTTCTTCACATTTCTTTATACCCCCATTTTGTTTTCAGCAATTTGGTGGAAAGGTGAGTATCGAAGAGTGCCATGTTATTAGAACAAAGTGTTCTTATGCTAAGGAAGGCCTTGAGTAGGGGCCGAAAGCCAGATGTTCTTGATACTGACTCTTCCTGCTCTGTTTGCACCCTGTGAACAATCCCTGAAATCTGGCGGGGTCCACCAGGGAAGCAAGTTTACTATGACCCTGAAGGTGTTGTCATTAGTTGGGTGCGCATTTACTAAGGACAGAATCTTTTTGCAGACCCCCACCTTGAAAGGAAAGTCTGAGCTTTGATTTCTGACCATTCCACTCATCCAGTCTGCCCCAAACCAATTTCCTATTGGGCAGGACTGCAACCAGCTCCTCGGGAACAGAGGTGGGGCTCACCCACCCCACGGCCTCTGAGGTCTGGGTCTTTGTTGTCTTGTCCATTCATTTATGCTTTCAAGGTTTTAAGGAGTAGTTCCGCCCTTGCCCCACCTGCTTAGTATTTTCAGTTTTCAGTGGGAGAGGTGGCCAAATTTCCTGACTTCTAGTCCTGACGAAGAAATAGCGGTATGTTCAATTTGCTTGGCGGGGACTGTGAAAACAGACACAGCCATTACCATTCATGGTACATTTCTGCGCAGAAGAGAACAGCTTTCCCTTTGCTTCAAGCACTTTTAGAAGTGGAAGCGCACTTTTCATAATGGTTGGAGAAGCAGACTCCTTTTGCAAGAGGACTAGAAATTGCCCATAACTGTTGGGGTACCTGGTCTAGAGATGGACTAGCTGGACTAGCAGAGCTGAAGCATGTGAATAGAAGCTTCTTTGTAAAGTAGTGGACACAGTGCTTTGAGAAAGCAGACTGAACAGCCAGGCAGAGAGCACACAGAAGCATGAGTCGCATCACGCATTTGAAGTACAATTGAGGCCTGATGACACTAGTGGGGTATTTTGAAAACATTAAAACAAAACAGAACTTCTAATAGCTAAGAAAGCCTAAGAGAGCAGTTGTTTCTTTTGGGAAATATGTGGGGCTAGTTTTTTAAAAAATACAATTAAATCACTGTGAAATACATCTCAACCACACTGACAACAAAATTTAGATACCTAACATGCAGCTTTATGAATTTTAATCTGATACCGTAATTGACTCAGATGTTCTTAAAAGAGTAAGGCTTAGAGATACAACTGAAGCACCTGTGAATCATTTCTTTAACCTTGAACATGAATTCTGAGTTTCCCTTTTTTATGAGTATAGTATCCATACATGTTTGTGCATCTATGCTTACAGATGCTGTTTTACTCTGTCATGTATATCCTTTGCTTTGTAGTTTTAGCTATGCTAATTGCTCTAACTCTCCCTCACTGACACTGAGTCCATTCAGACAGAGTAGAACTGCCCTTTAACTACATGGACAGCTGCCCTTCCCCCCAGAAGAATTTACTTCAGAAGACAGCACTGAAGCTACAGCTCAGGGAGAGGGACATGTCTGATCAGAGCACATGGGAGCAAATGAAGGGGCAGAAGAGAGAGTGGAGCACATCCTGGCCAACCAAGCCTTGAGGATGGTGTTCCCGCTCAGAGCAGCCAATGCACAGAGAGGACCATATGGCCGGCCCCACTATGAGACAGGACGTCCCTCACTGAACCATAACCCTACCAGGGACAACACTGGAGACAGAGTGTGGGAATTGCTCCCGATCTGACCCCACCACACCAAGGAAAACACTAAGGGCATGCAACAGAACAGCAAGGAGAGCTGAGCAAGGAAGTCCGGAGGGAATACCAAAAATAGACTTTGGGGCCAGGGCATGGCATCCCATTATACTCAATGGGAAAACACTCCTAAAGTTCAACAAACAGACCTTGAACTATTTACAGGCTTTTCTCTCTTTTTTTGTCATTGATTTGTTGTTTTGTTTTCTTTTGTTGCTTTGTTTTGATCTGTATTGTTTTTGTGCATATTATTATCTCTGCAGGTCT